CATTCACTTCAATTGCCCCCCAAATTTAATAAGAAAAATAAATGGTCCTAAAAATATTTTTTAAATATCATTATTTTTTGTACAAAGACAAAGTGTTTTTTTTCCTGCATTGACATTTTTTGCATGACAAATAAGCCTTTATATTTTTCCCCAAATATGAAAAGACAAGAAAGTCTATTTTTAGGACCTTTTTTTTTTTTTTTTTTGACATAATGACATAAGCACTTAAATTTTCCCAAAAAAATTATGTAATGAGAAAAACAAAAAACATTGATGACCCTAAAAATATGCTTCATTTTTTCTAAGAAATTCAGTTTTTCTCCGAATATTCTGTAATGTGAAAAAAATCTTAAAATTCTTTATTTAAAAAAATGGCATTACAGTAATTTTACTGTAATATTGTTAAAAAAAAAAATACAGAATTTTAGCAATAAGAATCTAATGAAGAAGAATCTAATATTAACAATTGATAATAATAATAATAATTAATCAAAAACTCAAAAATAAAGCATCTAGAAAAATTAGGCAAAAAATGAAAATTGTCACAATTACATTATTTTTTTATATATGACTCAGGCAAGTTATAGTGTATTTCTTAAATTTCCATACTCTGGCTTTTCCTCTATTTATGATGTTGTTTAAAAAGAGAGAGCTTTACCTGAGGATTTATTATAACCTCATTTCACAAATCATCCACCAGTATTTACAGATCTGATAAATAAAGACATTTAGAAAGAACTAATCTGCTTCTATCAGCTTTTGTGCACGCTCCGCTTCAGAGGTCACAGAGTAACATGTTCTGAATCCCAATCCAGGGCTCAGAGGATTTGTACAGGGTCAGTTCCTCATCCAACTGCAGACCAAGGCCAAGAGCCACACCATTTTTTCCTCTTTATGTGACTAAACATCTTTTTTGCGCCCCTGAACAGATGTCATTCATCACCAGGAACCCTGTCCAAGAAGCCACCTGTTCAGTCCTTTCACAGGGCAACCGCGATGGACACATCACTCAACATCAGTCACCTTTCACCCAGGATACTGTCCTCAGGACCAGACGACGTGAAGAGATTTCCAAACACATCTCGCTCATCTAATTAGACATGCATAACATGTCAGAAACGTTTACGGTGAATTTGTCTCTCTGCAGGAAAAGATGTCAGCCGACCACAGCTTTTTATTAATTAGTTTATTATTTCACAGACTAAAGAGGTCTAATAGTGTGGTCAACAGTTCAGAATTAATTATGGCAGTATAATACATTAATATAATAAAAAATTATATATATTTTTAAATAAAGCTATAAAAAATATATTTTTCTTTTATATTAAAATATATTATGTATATTTTATATTTACATATTTTATAATTTTAATTATATATTTTAATATTTTTAACATTACTAATATCGTGTG